AGGGGGGAGGAGGGAGGGAGGGAGGGAGGGAGAGAGGAGAAAGAAGAAGAAGGAGAAGGGGAAGGGGAAGGGGAAGGGGAAGGGGAAGGAAGGGGAAGGGGAAGGGGAAGGGGAAGGGGAAGGGGAAGGGGAAGAAGAAGAAGAAGAAGAAGAAGAAGAAGAAGAAGAAGAAGAAGAAGAAGAAGAAGAAGAAGAAGAAGAAGAAGAAGAAGAGAGGAGAGAAGCCAAGAGCAGGGTGTGATGCTCCCACCTTTAGTCCCAGCACTGAGGAGACAGAGGCAGGCAGATCTCTGTGAGTTCAAAGCTAGAGTGTTTCAGGACAGCCAGAGATACTTGGTGAGACCCTGTCTCAAAACAACAACAAATGAAAGGGGGCATGGGAAAGAAAACTAAAAACAGCAAAATCAGAAACGGTGCCCAGTTTACAGGAATGCATCAAGTACACGACTGCAGAATCCCCATCCAGAGCCTCAGAGGACAGAAGGAAGGTACAGCACAATTTCCTGTCTGAAAGCTCCACATCCTAAAATTCAATCAGTGAAGGACTAGACACCTTCAGTCACACAGGATGCCTCTATGCTGAACACTGAAGACAGATTTTTGTCAGTATCCCCCTTCCCGGCCAAAAACAAACAAACAAACAAACACAGTGTAATAACTGTTACGTTTTCTGATACCCAGAGAGAAAAAGGATTTTATATGATCACTAGCTAGTGCTATCTCTCAAAATCAAGATTGAAGCTTGCAGGGGAAGTGCCCAATGCCACTAGACAGGAGCCAATCACATGTGTGCTTTCTGATTAACTAGAGGAACAATTTCAAAAAGTATATAAAAAGTGGCTCGGGACACAGCTCAAGGGTGGAGCACTTGTCTTGCGTTCATGAGGTCCTGGGCTCAACGCCGATCACTGCAAATAAAATAAAATAAATGAAATGTGAAGAAAACAATACAAAGAGATCTTCATAAAACGCTGAAAATAAATGAACATGATCATGTAAAATATGCCCCGTTTACACGTAAGAAGGCAAGAAGAAAGTAACAGAGGAATGAGAGATGTAACAGAGCAAATGTACGCAAAGCAAGCCATACACTGTTAGAGTTGAACAGTGCATCAAGAATCACCTCAAAAGCAAATGGCTTAGCCAGAATAATCAGTGGACAGGAGCTAGTAGTGGGTTCAAAACGAAAACCCACCCATGTTTCTCTTGAAGGGGACTTATATTATGTTGATATCGAATGGGGGAAAGAGGAGGGAGCTGGTTTCCTTGGCTCCGACCCACGTGACCTGAGGATTCCAGGTTCTCAGCCTCTTACTCAGGAGAGTGAGATAAAGACTCTCACAGGTTTGCAAAGCAACGAGGAACCTTTTTTCAAAGCAAAGCGATAGAATAGACAAAAATTAAAAAGAACGTTGCCAACCTTCTTGAAGGTTGGGAAAGAACAGTCTACCTGGATGAGGACACTCAAGGGGCCCTGATTGTTGTCTGGGGATTCCTTTATGGAGTTCAAGAGAAGGTGGACCTTGGTCGCTAG